AACGGCAGCAGCAGCATCCCCTGCAGCAGCAACAGCAGCAGCAGCTCACCAAAAGCCATAAACCGCTGCTGAAGTGCTGCTGCAACCAGCCTCAATTTTGTGCAGCAAAAAAGTGCCCACGGCAGCGCCACCCTGGAGGCAGCGTCCCCTTATTGGGGCTTCATTTGCTGCTGCTGCTGCTGCTACTGCTGCTGCTGCAGCTGTTTCTGCTGCTGCTTCTGGATTGGTGCAGCAGTGCCTTGTTGTTGACCTGGAGGGGCACACAAAGAGGGCTTTAGCAGCAGCCACGGGAAGCTGCTTTGCTTTAACAATGCTGCTGCAGCTGCAGCTGCTGCTGCTGCTGCTGCTGCTGCAAGAGGCGTGGTCTCCGGTGTGTAAAGCAGAGCCCCCGCTGCCGTAAACGCAGCATGAAGTTATTTGCTGCTGTTCCAGCTGCTGCTGCTGCTGCTGCAGCTGCAGCAAAGGTGAGTCAAGAAACACTCCTTCCCATAGGGCCTCAGCCACAAGGTCTGCCTGCACTAGCCGCCGCAGCCAGCGGCCCCCAGTCAGCACCCTGCAGCAGCAGCAGCAGCAGCAGCAGCAGCAGCAGGAATAGCGACAGCAGCAGCAGAGGTTTCCAACGGAGCCTTAATGAAAAGCTTCGGGTTCAGGGTTGGAGCTAGGAATCCAGGGTTTAGGGCCTACAATTTAGGGTTTAGGGTTTAGGGTTTAAAGTTAAGGGTTTAGGGTTTAAAGTTAAGGGTTTAGGGTTTACAGAATCTGGGGTTCTTCGTGGGAGCCCAAGGCGGAAAGCGCAGGCAGCAGCAAAGTTGCTGCTTGCTGCTGCAGGGGCCCCCCGAAGCTGCTGGGGGGCCCCCTGGGGGGTTGGGGGGCCTCAGCTTCTTCAGCAACAAGACTGGGAATTGCTGTTATTATATTGCGCAGCAGCTCTCGAAACGGTCCTGCAGCAGCAGCAGCAGCAGCAGCAGCAGTATGGGGGCAGCAGCAGTAAAGGAGGAGGCAAGGCGGCCGCAAAGCAGCAGCCACTTCATGACTCCTGTGGGCTAGCAGCAGCAAACGTTCCACTGCTCTTCTTGCTGCTGCTGCTGCTGCTGCTGCTGTGGACTCACCTAGTTGTCGTGCTGCAGCAGCAGCAAAGACAGAGGGGCCCCTGAGGCAGCGCAGCGAGAGCCTGCAGAGCAGCAGCAGCGACTCCCTAGCAGCAGGCCCCAGCTGCTGCAGCACGGAGAGGCGTGTTAGCTGCTGCAGCAGCAGCAGCACGAGAGGCTCCCATCCTGCTGCTGCTCTTGCTGCTGCTCCTGCAGCTGCTCCTGCTGCTGCTTCTGCTGCTGCGGGAGCCGGTGTCCCTCTTGGCGCCAGCGGCCCCGTGAGCTGCTGCGTCTGCAGCTGCTGCTGCTGCAACAGACGCGTTTGCTGCTGCTGCTGCTGCTGCTGTGTCTCGACTTTCCGCAGAAGCGGGAAGGCACTTTCTATTGCCGGCTGCAGCCAGAGGCCCCCGGTCTCCCGCGGCTGCTGTTGTTGCTGCTGCTGTTGTTGCTGCTGTTGCTGCTGCTGCTGCTGCTGTTGCTGAGGGGCCTGTGTCTGCTGCCACTTTGCCACAGGGGCTTGCGTCTCTCGCTGCAGCAGACGCTGCTGCTCGCTGTCCTCCCCTTCTTGCTGCTGCTGCTGCTGCTGCTGCTGCGGCATGTGCAGCAGGAAGAGCTGGCTGCGGTAGGCCAAGGGGAAGGTCAGAGCCAAGCGCGACAGCAGCAGCAGCAGCTGCTCGGCGAGGGCGAGGTTGCTGCCTTGCAGCGGCCCATCGCAGCAGCAGCAGCAGCAGCGCAGCCGCAGCAGCAGCAGCAGCAGCGTGCTCCTCAGGTGTCTCGACACCGCGGACTTAAAGGAAGGCAGCAGACACAGAGCAGCAGCAATTGCTGCACACCTTTCAGCGGGGCCTAGGTCAAGGCTCACCAGCTGCTGCCACAGGATCCCTGCAGCAGCAGCAGAAGCAGCAGCAGCAGCAGCAGCAGCAGCAATAGTGCAGGGAGCACGCGTAGCAGCAGCAGCAGCAGAGACAGCAAAAGCAGCAGCAGGGATACGCAGCAGCGAAAAGGTGTCTCCAGAAGAAGGAAGGGCAGCAGGAGAAATGCCGGCAGCAGCAACACGAGCAGCAACAGCAGCAACAGCAGCAACAGCAGCAACAGCAGCAGCCGCTGCACCTTTTGTTCTCTCTGGAAGCAGCTCGACTAGCCTGGGATGTTTGGTCAGCAGCTGCAGCGCTTTGCTGCAGCTCTG